GAGCTTAGACTATTCAAAGGATCGACCCGTGGAGACGCGGATAAATGGTTGAAATCAAAGTTAATTTTAACCTTGGAAAAACAAGGACAGCAATATTTCAATCAGAAATATCCAGATCGTAAAATTGTTGAAATGAGTTTTGTCGAAATGTGGAAAACGTCGACTGATACGTTTCAAAAAGAACCAAAGGTTACAAACAAGAGTTTCAAACTCTTTGGTCGAAAGAAATGCGATAATGAAGGTATGGCGCAGTTCTGTAGGGCGTTGAGTGACCTTACTCGCGCCAGTGATTTCGGGGATCCAGAAGCATCGATTGACCGTGACGTTTTCATATTTAATATGAAAAATGAAGAAATCAAGAAACAGTTATGTATGGAAACAATGAGCCCGGGGAGGCACTTTCTTTTGCAGTTGTTCGAGAGAGAGGCGAATTCATGATTAGGATGGTCAGCGGCAAAACACCACGACTTGGGAAAAACTAATTTAACGGTAATCGCTCAAACACTTCAGGGTCAAGTAATGCGGGCCAAGGGAGAAGTTATATCGAACGGGAACCAGTCAAGGAGGTTATGGGCAAGGATCAAAAGAAAGCAAGAATCATCGTCTGCCATAATTGCAGTGGCCGAGGGTATTTTGCGAGGTTTTGCAAGTAATCGTCGATTAATCAATTGGATGGTTCATATGAATTTACGCAATTCGAGACGAACGTTTTTATCAAGTTCCAAGAACACGATGACGAAGAATTTGAGTTTTTTTATCAAAACGATCTTGGACAAGGGAGGCAAGGAAAATAGAACACTGGTTGAGATCAACATGGGCCAAAACCGTTGGCGGACAGAGTTTTAGATCAATTGTGCCAGTCCAGTATCGTCTATGTCACAGACAAAACTACATGAGCTGAAGATTCGGGATTGATTCCTGGGTGTTAAAGCGGTACCAGACGAGATCAAGAAGTTATTCTATAGTGTGACAGACGACCTCATTAGAACTTTTGAGCGAGTTTTTGTGGACATCGAATCAGAAGATTGGGTGACTATGAAAGCCGAATTTCATATAACGGAGGGAGGCCAAAGGGATCTCATCGGGATAAAATTTCTGCCTGCCCTAGGCATTGAAGTTCGGCAAAATAAAGTTGCAGGGTACGTGCAAGAGGTGGGGACCGACAGCACCCTGACATCTATTGGGGAATATTCCCCAATTCAACGTAGTAGATTAAGCGTATACTGAAAGCGTTCATAGAATTATTCGAACGAAAAAGAGGGTTGAAAAATTGCGAGTCTAGAAGATATTTTCATGAGCCACTCCGTGCAATTCAGTTTAAGGGGAAAAGGTTGCCATTAAACCTATTGCCGACTGTAGAAAGAACCACTCAGGGGTTACTTCGAGATGGACAAAAAAGAAAATGACAACGGTGCCGCAGATAACCCGATAACGATAGATATCTCGTCGGAGGGACTCATGTCTTTTGAAATCCTGGTCTGGAACTTCAGACGTGCAGATAATACCAACACCCTTAGTATCGGAACGGGCGGCGGATAATAGATACCTCGACAAGACGAAGAACGAGCCTCAGACGTTGTTGCTGGATCATAGGGTGTCTAAAGGCGGGATCGTCCCATATTCAAGTTGAGAGTAGTGAAGCGCACTCAGGATAGAAACAAGTTAATCCTGCTAGCCCGATAGAGTTGTCTTCAGCCGAGGAAGGGGGAAACGATGCGGAGGAGAAGTAAAAGAACGACTCGCAATAAGTGAACACTCAGGGGCCGCATTCTACTGGGGGCGAATTGTCGTCGACGAGGGCCACGCTAACGTAGATTGAAGATGAAGGAGTGGGGACACCACTCCAGAAGAGTTTGGGATCATCTCAAGATACTGAGATCAAATGGGCTACAGTTACACGCCACAAAACCCGGCCACTGAGGGACAGAAGGCCGCTAAAGTTTTCGGGGGACAGATTATTTACAAGTGCGATTACTAGCGGATCGACTCATGTGAATGTTATGGGTGCGGCGCAGAATACATCTGATGAAGAACTGGGAAAGAAACGAACGGCTTCATCAAGCGCTAGGCCGAGGACTGTGAACAAGTCCAGAGGAGGAGGTAATATTAACCTTTCAAAGGGTGCGGGGACAGGATGAAAAAGCCCGTAACACAGTTTTCTCCAAAGAAGATCCCGAGTCCGAAACAACGATCTGCGGAAGACGCCTATTTTGACCGAGAGATGTGCCAATTTTACTGGGGGCAGGACTATATTCGGGACGTGACCGGTGTCGACAAAAATGTATCTGGACACTTTATTGAAGTGTTGCACAAGTTGCGACGGATTGTTGAACATACGTCGGGAAATCCATCACTCACGGATTCGGCTGAAAACGCCATAGATGGCTTTCGGCTGCAGTCATTATAACACGGACTGGATGCCCGTATCCGCAAAAAACGAAAGAATCCTAACTTAGGCAAATTAGATGACATCGGACACGTATTGCGATAGAGCAGTTGGATAGACACTTATTACTACGCATTGGAAGGGTTGACAGTAGTCCAACAATCCCGACGACTCGACGTGTTAAAGTTAGCACACCAATCAATTCGGATGATCGAGGAGAGCTGCCTCAATTGGAGACGCCGAAAGCAGCAGTGGATCCCAGGCCGACTCACCCGGAGCATACTGGAGCTCAACAGGAGAAGCATACGCGATGTATGCCAGTGTTAGAGGAAGCGGCCATTACGAAGGAGAGAGAGAGCCGGTGACAGCCTTGCACGGCACAGCTGATATCATCAACATGAGCCGCTATTCAAGCGTTCCCTTTGCGACAGAAAACCTAGACATCGCGCACAAACTCTCTGCAATTAGCATGACCGAGGATGGTCTACGCCAAGTTCTGGAGGAGCTCGAAAACTTGTAACTTAGCGCAGAAGGGAAAGAGTGGAGGAGTTATAACCGACGGTTAAACAGTCAAGCTATCAAACTGAAATAGTTTAGAGTTGTTGTGGTCAGTTCGATGTATTATATATTAGATAGTATTACTGGCAATGAACTGTTCTGAAGAGGGAACTGTTCCGTGTAGAGGTCAAATTATGTATGTATTATATGGTTATATCATTGTATGTTTTCATTAAGTAACGTCCTATCACCGTCAATGGCAACGTCAAAATGGTCATTAAGTGGTCGTATAGCCAGTGGCTGGCGTAACCGTATTGAATTCAAATTGATTCTTTTACATTTTGCATCTTAACTGAAGTTAATGAAGTACTGCTCAGGCATACTTGCACAAGCACATTGTCGTTTGGTTAATTTGTACTGCCAAATCAATTTACAGACTAGTTTTTCAGTGTTTTATTATATTGCTCTGTGTCGAACTATCGCTTTTTAAAATGCTGCCAATTGTCGCGTGCTACCAATTATCGCTTGTGACGAGTTGTTGTCCCACTCATTTAAACACCCCACATAACCACCACAGAACTAATTGAACTAATTTTGTAATTTCAAACTATAAATAATTTGAACAAGGATGAGCTGCTGCGGTCCGAGTAGCACAGAAACTTCCGACCACAATATTAAAAAAAAAAATTAAGAACATTTTTGCTTCAAATTTTGTAATATTTGTTTTTATTTGTTGTTTGATGAAAGAGCTAAGCAAACTCGTAAATTTTAGACAGATTTGAATGTAAAAAATTGAGATGTATGCAAAAACAGTTTGTGTCGAAAAAATAAAACATCTCGAAAACATTATTACAAAAATATTTTAAAAATAACTTGAAAAATAAAGAACAAGACTGTTACCCAGCTATGAGATCTTATTACTCGCTTCACAAGCTCGAATTCAAACTAAAAACTTCAAAATTCCGACAGGTTTTCTCTTCATTTCGGGAAATTGTTTGAAAATTTTTTATGTCGTTCCGAACACGAATGAAAAGGCTTTAATATAGTATATTGTTTCAATAATTATCTGTGGAACCTGATTATTCTTGAAAAACTGAAAGTCTAAGTTTCGGAAAATTATTTTTTTTCTAAATTTTTGGTCGCAATATTATTCTCATACTCAAACAAGCATCTTTCAGAAAGCAAAAATGAATTTTTTTAAGATATACCTCAATACATTCAAAAAAGCTTAGGCCAAAATTTTCGACACGTGATTTTTTTGACAAAATTTTTGTAGCTAAATACTTTTGGGTTTTTATTCATAATTCTGAGGGAACTATGAAAAATTGTTACAGACAAATATTACTCATATGCAAGTTTCTGTGAGATTTCTTCCTTTCAGTCAATGTATTTCAGTAAAAACAAAAGAATTTTCGTTCATGAATTTTTGGTTCATGGAAAACGTTTTCGGAATATATTTTTGGTTCATGGAAAACCGCTTGTCGTAGTCTATTTTATTACATTTTTTTGTACCTTTGCAATTGTACAAAAATGTATGACAAGCATTTCTCCATTTATGAAAAATGTATGACAAGCATTTTTTGGTCGACCCGGGTGGTTATTATTGTTCCGATTTCGAAGAAAACAGAATATTTATTTGTGAGCCGGTTTCTTTGATAAGTAAATTTTCGACATTATGACCAAGCAATTTACAGGAAAAATTTTGATCCCATTTTTTAGTTTTTGGTATCCGGAGCTCAAAAAAAGTTACTGGTGATTATATTACGTAAAATTATGGGAGTTTGAAAACTATTAACTTGATCAAATTGCGATAATTACACGAAATATTTTACGTGATATAACACGCGTTATATAAACATACGTTCCAAAGTGAATTGAGGCGAACCATTTGGTGTTTTCATTTTGTCAGGCTCTAAATGCATCCCTGCGTAATTCATATTAGCGCGTGGGAGAATAATTGAAGAAAAATTTTGAAAAAAAAACGTTTCGATTAAATTGTTAATTCTTCACCAAAAATCTTTTAAAATTGGCATTGAAGTGCGATCAGAACATTCAGGTCTTCGCCCTAATATACGAGGAGTCCTGTTTAATTTCTGAAAGTTTGTGGTTATTTTAGGTTTACCAACGCGTTCAAAAGAGCAGTCTGCTTAACCGTTACAAGCCAACCACAAGATAATGCAGTGGCTCAAATGACCTCTACCCGCAACCAGCGGAACAGTTCCAGAAACCGAACATCATCACTGGCTGTCAAATTCAGCAAAACCGCAGTCAGCAACCTGGAAGTTCCGTCTGCAAGATCTGGAAAAAGGGGCTCCAAGGAAATTGGGCGCGAGAATTCAAGCAACGGAAGTGCGACAAAATCAAGCATAATCATGTCATATAATTCACGAGGTCAACCGATTAGTCGACGAAAAGATGGTCAAGTTTCTTTTCAAGGTCAAAACCAGCCTAAGCTGTCAGATGTCTGACTGACAGATAACAGGTTATATTCAAGGTACATTCCAGACAAACTATGACGAACCATCAATACTGCAATTCTTCTATGTTAAATTTTTATGTCATTTAGCTAACTTGCAAACAAAAAATCAAAAGATAAAACCAAAAACCCTTAATATGCTGAAATTGTATATACAATTTCAAAATATTTTTGAGAACAATATTGCTAGAAAAAAATTGATGTAGAGATGTATTCTAGATGTAGACAATTTGGTGATTTTTGACATAATGTGACAATTTTGAGTAATTATATTAACTTAATTCAATGTTTTTTGCAGATAAATTTTTATCAACGTTTCCATCGGGTAAGCGAGCAAACGGGGCAAAACAACAGAGCCAAAGAACAAAAGTGCCGAAAAAAGTGTTCAACAGTGCCGAAAATTGATGATTTTGGATCTGTTTTACTGCCCTTAGAGGGCGTTCAACAGTGCGAAGTTCAAATGTTCCAAAAACCATCAATTTTCGGCAGGGTTGAACACTTTTTTATTTCGGTACTGTTGTACTTCGGCAATGTTGAGCAAACAGGATACTTCAAGCGTAAAATGTCAGTCAGTATCCATTTATCCACCAATTTATCCTCTTTTTCCACTTTAAAAAAATTATCGGACTAGATTGAGTGATATATCATATTAGAACCCTTCCAATCGTGATTACAAAAACCTTGAAAATTTTTCAAAAAATGGGTCGAGAAAATCTGATTTTTCAGTTTTAGTCAAATTTCGAGCGAGTGAAGCAATCAAGAAACGTTCGTTATATATGTAGATTAGCAATCAAAATTAGAAAAAAATTGATATCACAAGAAGTAAAACTGGTTTTGGAAGCTTCACTTAGCGCCTCTCTCGCAACAAAAAACCACAAAAACTTTTTAAATTTTTAGTGGAAATAACTTTCACAAAAATCTCAAAAATTTTTTGGGAAAATTTTTTTCATTGTTTGTTGATTTGTTTTTTTGCAAGCAAAATGTAGCCATCTATGTTTTATTCACTACATTTTAACGCATTTTTATATTCTATTGTCAAACGACGCACAAGCAAAAACGCGCAACTAATTTACAAAAAAAAGAAGAAAAACTTTTTCTGATACGGGTCTTGTTTGATTATTGTTTTTGCTCACATTTTTCAGCAAGAACTGTACTCTCATTGTTATATCCCTCAGTGTATCCATCGAAATATTCCTCAAAGTTATAATGAGTTTACGTCACTTGAGGAGAGTTGTTTCAGGTAATAGCAAGAGGCTACCCGAATTGATCTGTCAGTAATAATCAGTACTGTTTCAGAGTAAAACTAGTGATATCTTTTTTTCAGTACTGTTCCAGGAAAAACCTTGTGAAACAACAAAAAGCAGTACTGTCGCAGATGTTGTTTTTGTAACACTGTTTTTGTTCTGAAACAGTTCTGTAAATTTTTGTTAACGTTTTGTTACCTGCCTTTATTCGCCGCCACAACTAAAATCAGATGAAAACCACCTGAAAACGCAGTTTTTTGCAAAATAATATAGAAATGATAAAGTTTTGATAATCAGAAGGCTTGAGCAACTAAATTTGCTCAGAGTTAATATGACACTGGCGCAGTGTTTTGTTACAAAAACGGAAAATATTTTTCTTCAAAATTTTAATTTACTCCCCACAGCTAAAACCAGCTGAAAACCGCCTGAAAACGCAGTTTTTTTTTGCAAAATAAATAAGAAATGACTAAATTTTAATAAACAGAAAACTTTGGTAACTAAATTTGCCGAAAAAGGTAAATTTTTTAGCGCTATTTTTGGGGTTTTTAAGAATTTCTTTTGCTTTTTTAGTGCTATTTTTGCAAATGTCAGTGCTGTTACAGTGCTGATATATCTCTGTAACAGTGCTGTTTTTTGTCGCTGATTTATCTCTGATCAGAGATAAAAAGATGCTGGTACAGTAATGTAACAATACTGGTTTTTTTTACTATAACAGTACTGCAACAGTACTGCTTTCTCTGCAAGTTCAATCCGGGTATTATCTTGATGTAACGACCGAATGATGAAAAAATTTCAACAAATCATGTTCGTTAGGCGTTTCTATTCGCAAAAAGTATTTTGCACAAAATCAAGTCAAAATTAGCCAAAACAGTTTATTCAGCAGTACTGTCAAGTTTTGATCTACAATTTGTGCAAATATCGAATGAACATTTCATATATTTTTTCAATTTTTTTTAAAAAGTGGTATTTTTAAGAATAATGTTTTTTCCTATTCGTCTTAGATCTGAAATTTTTTTGCAATTTATTTGAAATTTCAAGGGTTGAGTGTGTTTTCTATCTAATTTTGACTAGAAGTCGCGTTTTTTTTCGGCGCGCAATCCCTTCAAAATTGGTATATATTGGCGCCAAATTCGCCTTTGGAAAAGTTTTAGGGTTAGTCGGCCAAAAATGGATGACATAAACTAATAGCAGAAAACCCTTTGGCTTGTGAAGTAGTCAAATTCCTGAAAAAATTTGTGCCTGATTTTTTCAATGGTGCTGCCGCTAAAAAATGTTTGTCATCAAACCGCTCAGGCCATTCTGATTTTCGTTGGTTAGCAAAAAAATTTGTTCGAAGCTGTCTTTTGTTGTAAAATAAACAATAAGCTGATATACCCATTATCTTGCACATTATGCCAAACAAAACTTAAGCTAGCGCAAAAAAAACTTTTGTTTTTTTTGTATTTTTTGTTTTTTCGAAATTTCAAAATAAAATTCTCATTCATTTTAAAAATTTAATTATTGGTTTTTTTATATAACTCCAATATAGAAAAAGATTGGCTCCATTACTATGAATGGCTGCAGTACAATTGGAAACTTTTGTTCTTTTTCAGTTTTTAAATTTTTAATTGGCATTTTCAGAAGTCCCTTTCAAGGCACCATGATGACAAAAAGGCGAGTTCTTCTCTATTATGGGCAGTAAGTAATTTGTCACCACGAGCGGTTGCAGGCGGAGCAATTAGATGGCTCATAATTCTGTCACCAAGTCTGAGGCCAATAAATTGATGCTTTCAAAAAACGCAACATCACCTTTATTTCCCTCGCTATTCGATTTTCTGAAAGTAAATCAAATGCGGAGACAGTTATTAAAGTGACTATTCAGACCATAACGAAAATTTCACTTAAAACAAAAGCAAGAAACGTTTGGAAAAAAATATTGGCATAAAAAATGAATTGCTTCCTTGTTACCAGGAGAAAACGGTTTCCTCAATAGAAAAACGCTTCGATTTCGCGAGCAAACGTTTCAACGTTATTTCCAAGGATTCAAACTTAAGCAGCGTTCGTGTGGTGTTATGAAGAGGCGAATCACAAAACGTGTTCCGATCAAACTTAGACGCCATAAAGATAGAACAAATAGAATTGGTCTCTTGGGCGATGAAATAGTTGACTACTTGAATTGAAGGCTGGGGCTGGTTAAGAGTGTGTGCGTGTGTGTGTGTGTGTGGGGGGGGGGGGGGGGGGGGGGTGGAGATAGTGTTGTTAGCAATCAAGTATGCCACCATGGTGGATAAGTTAAATTAATTCAAATTTTTTGCTTGTCTTTTGGTTCGTGATCCGTGGGCGGCTACCATTTCAAGTAGTATTTGAAATCAGACAAAACTTAAAGGCGAGGACCTGAAAAAGTTAGTGGGGAGAAACTTTACATTCTCTCAGTTTTCTTTCATGGAAATTTTAAATCCTCAAATAGTCGTCCAAGGTAAACGAGTGATGCGCCCATTGAAACCCTTCTAGTCATGAGACAAGATATGCGCTAAACTATTTTCGACAAAGGTATACAAAATATGAAAGATCGCGATTTTTCTTGGAGACTTTTTTATAATTAGACACTAATTCCTTTAGAAAAGCTAAAACTGATGACTCAAATCTTCCTTGCTCGTTTTTTAAACTAGATTTTGCAGTCTAGGTTCAAGTTATGGCTGTGTATGTAGGTCACATTCATTGTTGGAGCCTTTTCCGTTGTTTTGAACAAATGCAATAGAAAATTTTGCAAAAATCTCCTGGTTACTGAGAAACATTAAATTTAGAGAATCTTTTTTTCTTTTACCCTACCTCACATATGCATCAATTTTATGCTGTAATGAGGGGTTTTACACGTTCAGTATGAGGACCAAATAAACAGCATACCAAGTTTGTCATAGCCAAATTATTCATCATGTCAAATTTTGAAAAAATATGGAACAAAAAATTATTCGCAAGTGGGGAAAAAAAAGAACCAAATTTAGTTATTTTGATTTTAGGAGAATCTGACAGAAAAAACTTCTCCAGCGTGTTTATTCAGACAACTTTCAACTTTTGAAATACTAGCGATTGATTTAAAATTTTCTACCATCAGAAACAAAAACCAATGCGCTGAGGTCAGAGTTATAATGATATTTCACATGTGATTATTTTTCGCCAATGTATTTAAAAGATTGACTGTCTGTCCGATTTGGGATAATTTTATAGGCAATTTCATGATATAGGGCTAAGCAAAATCAAACTAATCAAATAAATGTAGTATAACAGAGAACGAGTACTGGTTTAACTGTATTAGCAAGAAAACATGAAAGGTTGACTCGCTTTTGCAATTCAAAGTAAAGGATTTAAAAGTTAGGTTTTAAAAAATCATAAAGGATCATAAAGATAGTTTTCAAAGTTATGAAAAAAATCGGATCAAAATTTTTTGGACCAAATTGTCAAAAAATATTCGGTTCAGTTTGCACAATGAAAAAAAATCCAGTGTTTTCTTGATGTTTTTTGTATTTTTTGTCTGCGTGATGCTCAAAAAATTGAATAGTTAGTTATGTGTATTGGGGTGAACTTCTTGATAAAAAGTATTCACGCAAACCTTAATGATTATTTATTAATTTAAAAAAATTTGCTGCTTTTCAGAGATTCAAATGCCAATTTGTAAGATAGGTATTTTTATTTTGTTCTAATTGCTTCATCAGAGCTGTACAAAATTTACACAAACTTTAAAAGTTTTGAGTTAATTTTTCAAAGCATCTCTCTTCGAAGCATTTTTTAGCGTACGCTGGAACGTTACATTTTACCCTGCTTGTCAAATGTGTGTTATTCTGAAGTAATTAATCAACCCTCAATCTTCAAATAAAAATGATCTGAGGTCAAAAATCTTTGAAATGTTAACTCAAGACATCATTTTTTAGGTGATGAAGAAATTCCATTCAAATTGGCCAGTCCAGTTGATAAGTCGATTTAA